GGGGGGGTTCGTAATTTAATCTTACTTCAGGAGGTGGTCGTAATTTACCATTTTATTTAAGATCTTAATACGAGTTGATAGATAGCTTATAAACTCGCAATCCAAACACTTCAAAAAAATCAATTCAAAAAACAAGACGTAACTCATGAGTTCCTAAAACAACTTATCAAACGTTAGAGATTATCAATTGTTTAAAATAAGTTTAGTACACCTCGTTAACTAAAGATCCAATTAAGCACTTTTTTGTTAATGAATTTGAATTAATTCATTGTAAATATATCAATTCATCAAAACGAGTTCGAGCACAATATGATTGACTCGTTATGACAAATTCGAAGTTCTTCACTCCAAAACTTTTAATCAAAAAGTACAACCTAAGAATGAAGCTAGACAAAGCTGCATGGAAAATGTCAACATGGAGGAGGGTCTTTTTGGTCAATTCAACAAAACCATCCATAACCGGTTCGGACAGGAAATCAAACCCTCTCTCGTATGAATATGGTAGCTGCTTAATTTAAGTTCTTTGTTTTTTTCTCTCTCTCTCTAACTCTTCAATGGATTCCAATAGTGGAGCCGTTTTAGAGAGAGAAACACATCCCAATTATGTGTACATTTTAAGAGAGAGAAAAGGAGAAAACAAATAAAAATTGTTGTACTTCTTGGATTTCATAACACCCCTTTATCTACACCACCCACCCAAACCAAAAAAGAAATTTAAAAAATAATTAATAAAATAAAATAACATAAATGAATAGTTTTTCATTTTATAATTTTCTTTGTGTAGAAAAAAAAAAAGGAAATGAAAAAAAAGTCGTCTTGTTTCGAAGAGAAAGATGGGAACCTTAACAACATAGTCTTTGTCTTTTGCTTCTTTAGCATTCAATTCTCTCATTTCTATCCTCTCCCCTCAATTCCCTACCGACTGAACCCCCTCTCTCTCTCTCTTCACTTTCTCTCTCTATCTTTTGTATGTATGTATTGATTATATATATATATATGGTGATATGATATTTAATTTTATTTTTAAAAAAATAAAGTGAGGAAAAATATGCAGAAAGCAGTTCGAGGGGTGCATTAAATGGCACTAGTACTACTATATGGGTTTTGCCAACAATAATTCATACACATCAGATCACCAAGAAATTCAAGAACGAAGCTTCTTGATTTAATTTTTCATGGATTCCAATAAAGGCAGCATCGGTAACAAAGAATTGTCGTCGCAACAAAATCAAATTCATCATCATAATAATAATAATAATAATAATAATAATCAGATTTCGTTCGGGACTATGATGCACTTGTCTTCGTCATCGTCTTCATCCGCCATTAATCCCGGAACCTTCAACATGTAAGAAGTAGCTTCTCTTATTATTTTTCCTTTTAAGTACTATATTATAAATTTTTGCTATTTAATTTTCTTAATTATTTTATTTTCGATGAAAATAATACGCGCGCAGAAGCAACGACGGAGGGGCGTACGACTTGGGGGAGCTGGATCAAGCTCTTTTTCTGTATCTTGATGGTCAAGATCATCATCACTCAGCTCAAGAACATCGACGTAATTTATTAATTAACTTAATTAAATAATTAATTAGTAATAATCTTGATCTATATTTAATTAATTTCTTTTAAGTAATGAACTGTGTTGATCGATGAGATTATATTCTCTTGGGGAATATTTGTTTTTAGGGTCATGAGGAAAGTATGTTGGAAGAACAGATCAAAAAAATCACTGTTGTACTTTCCCTTGACCAGATTTTTTTCTGATTTAATTTCTTGAAAAACTAAAAAATAAAAAAAAATAATCTTCTGAAAAATAATTATTTGAGGCCCACGACATGTAACAAACTTCTGATACATGAATTTTCCTGGGAGAAAAAAAATCTGATTGTACTATGTAAAAAAAGATTAGCGTACGAAACATAAGATTGGTTCTTGTTTCAGCTTTTTTCCCCACTGTTATTATCATGTCAGGAAAAAAAGATCTAGAGAGAGAGAGAGCTTCTTTTAATTTATTATTATTATTATTATTTATTTTTATTAATGGGTTTTTTTTTTTAATTTTATATATTTAATTTTGTGAATAATAATAATTGCAGAAAATTCAGGGATGAGACCACACACACTGAACATTTTCCCATCACAGCCCATGCATGTAGAGCCATGTGCAACAACATCATCAAAGGTAAAACTTTCTTGATTTTTTATTTATTTATATAAATTATTGAATTTATGTAAGATTTAAAGATAATTAATTAATGGGTTTGTTAAAATGAATATGTGTTTGGTAAGCGTGCAAGTGGGAGTGGATTGGTTTCGTCTCCGGCTAGCAGTGGATCGAAGAGATCATCCGAGCCGTCGATGGAGCTATCTAACTCTAATAACCCTAGAAAAGATGTTGCTTCTGCTCCTCAACAAACCAAAGCAGTTAAGGTTTGTACATTAAATATTATTATTATTACATCAATTAGTTACGGCATTCAATAATATTATATATGTCGTCTATATTATCTGTCTCTTTAAATAAATACGAAGATTCTCGCTAACTAAGATTTTCTTATTTAATTAAAATAAATAAATAAATTGTTTTTATTTTATTTCTGTTCTTGTTGCTTTCTTTGCCGTGGCAGCGTGAGGGAAACCGAAAAGGGCCTACGTCAAGTTCGGAGCATGAAGGACCGAAAACACCGGACCCGAAAGTATTATTTTATTTTATTTTTGCTTTTTTTAGAAAAAAATAAATTATTTCCCACACCAGCATGTCTCTCTTCTCCACACACACACACATGCGGGTGTGTGTGTGTGTGTTTTAGGGTTTTGTGTGTTGAAATTTGCATTCACCATTTACAGACTTTGAGGAGGCTTGCTCAGAATAGAGAGGCAGCTAGGAAAAGCAGGCTGAGGAAAAAGGCAAGTATACTAAAAACTTAATTAATTAATAACTAATTAATTAATTAATATTAATCTTGATTAAATGTTAATTGCAGGCTTATGTTCAGCAATTAGAGTCAAGTAGGGTGAGGCTTACTCAATTGGAGCAAGAATTACAAAGAGCAAGATCCCAGGTGGGAATCTTGATCTTTTTTACCCCACCAATTTAATCCATTATTATTTATTTTTAAAATACTAACAATTGAAGTATAATTATTTAATCATTAAATTAATGATTTTTTCCAATAATTGTGTCCTTCTGTTAGGGGTTTTATTTAGGAGGAAATGCTATTTTACCAGGAGAACAAGGAGGCCTTAATCCAGCTGCTATGGGGAACATGAGTGCAGGTATACCGTATATATATATTTATAAATAGTCATAATTTATTATAATTAAAGTCAACTACTTATAATAGTTTTGTGGTTAATTAAAAAATACAAATTATTATTCCTCCAACTTTCAACAACTAATTAAACAAGACAAAACTTGTTCTCTTCTAGATGCCGCCATGTTTGATTTAGAGTACGCCAGGTGGCAGGAGGAGCACCACCGCCTAATGGTGGAGCTCCGGAACGCTGTCCACGAACACCTACCGGAAAACGAGCTCCGTATCTTCGTGGACAACTGCTTAGGCCACTACGACCAAGTGATGAATCTCAAGAGCATTATCGCGAAATCCGACGTGTTCCACCTCTTCTCCGGCAGTTGGAAAACCCCCGCGGAGCGTTGCTTCATGTGGATGGGTGGTTTCCGGCCATCCGAGCTCATCAAGGTTTAATTAATTAATTTGCTTCTATATCCAAAAACCCTAATCACACTAAATATTACACTCATCAAGGTAAAATTCAGGCAAAAACCCTAATTAGATATAGTGATTTTTTTTTTCCATGAAAATTCGAAAAATCACAATCGTAGCAGATTCTGAATGGAGGGTTCAGATTGAATCTTGAAAATATGCCGTATACCGATTTTCGTAAAGATATATATAATATAACTGCATGGATTGAGTGACAAGAAATTGTCTACGCAAATGTAAGAAAGAGTCTTGATTTTCATAAGCATCATGGGTAGGTTTGCCTGTTTTAGGGCATTATTAGGTTTTATTCCAACCAGACAATAAAGCGCATTTCTGTTACACGTTTTTCGGACTCCCACACATTCTGTGTGTGTGACGATATATATATATTTTTTAGATATAATTATTTTGAAGTATCTAACAAATAATGAATAATAATATATATTTTTTTTAATTATTTTCTTGAATTATTAATTGCATGCAGATAATATTGAGCCAAATAGAGCCATTGACAGAGCAGCAATTGATGGGAATATGCGGGCTGCAACAGTCGACGCACGAAGCGGAAGAAGCGTTATCGCAAGGGCTCGAAGCACTAAACAGTTCGCTCTCGGAAACGATAACTTCGGATTCACTCACAATTACACCTAACATGAACAACTACATGTCTCAAATGGCTCTTGCCATTAACCAACTCTCCACCCTCGAAGGCTTCGTTCGACAGGTACATAATACTTACGTGTACAAAAAGAAAAATTATATTAATCTTTCGTTTATCCGTATAATTATTTCGATATTAGGTGAAGTGTACATATATATATGCATGCATAACTTTTACTTTGAACTACTTGTTGGCTTAGGCGTACGTAAGAGCTAGGGAAAGATCGATTAAGACCTCTACGATTGTTACAGCTAGGAACGTCAAGAGTTAGAGCTAAGATGAAATAATCGAACGTAAAATATATTTTTCGTGTAATTAATAAGTTCATCAAAATATTAAAATTGGAACTAATTAAGTATAAAAT